TTAAAAGTCAACAGTCTTTCAGATTTATTTTAGAGCCTCCACCCTCACCAGTTCCGCCTCAGCAGGAGTTGTGGAATGGTGGGGTTCCCCGTTGACTGAAAGCAAAAAGGCAGCTGCCTCTGGGATGCCATGTGTGCCCAAGAACTGACACATCAATGGCAGGTGGCCAAGCCTTTCTTCTGAAGGGCCTCTTGTTAGATTCTGACCCCTAACCTTTCTGTTAGCAGAGGAGCAACCCAGGAGAGCCACCCAAGGACTCCCCAAGCTGACAGTAAAATCTCAGCGCCTTTGAGCTGACTCAGCGACCTATGGGATTGGGTGGAAGGGCCCCTGTGGGATGTGGACACTGAAACTGTTTACAAGAGTAGAAAGCCCATCTCTCTTCTGCCAAGCTGATTAAGGGAGAGGCAAGCTGGTACACATGCAGAGCATTCACCCGGGACTGTATGGCTCACTGTCATGGAGCCCCTGGTCCAGATGACACCCCTTTAGTAGGTCCTAGGACTCTTTGCCTTTGGGGCGGGGGTGGAGGGGCAGAAGAACTGAAGCTGAAAGGTGTAGAGTCACAGAGCTAACGGCCAGATGGTGTCTGGGTTTTCTTGTAGCCTGACTCCTCCCCACTCCCAGCACACGGGGTCTCTCTCAGTGACTTCCCCTGTTACTGGATTGGGGGAATGAGCGGCAGGAAAAACCTCAGCCCTCTCCCACTGCCTGAGGCAGTGACAGCTACTTCCCGGACAGACTAGAAGAGCAGTCCTGAAGCCAGCAGCAGGCCAGCCCACAGCCACTGGTCCTCCGGCCTCTGTGAGCTCCGTGAAAGCCCAACCAGGGCTGGAGGCCAAGAGCCCAACGGAAATTCAGGTGAGCGTAGCCCTCTTCCAAGGAAGAAGGGACCTGGGGCTTTAAGACCACTCGCTTTTCTGCATGATCTACAGATGTCCCCAGGGATGAATCGGAGGGCTGTGTGGTTCCCACGGGATGCAGGTGGCGTAGTCGATTCTGTGTTGGACTGCTAACTGCGAGATCAGCCGCTCTGGGACAGAGAGACCAGGATTTCTACCCCCATAAAGAGTGACAGGCTTGGAAACCCACAGGGACAGCTGGTCTACCCTGTCCTATAGGGTCGCGATGAGTCAGAATCGACTCGATGGCAGTGTTTGGTTTGGCTTGTCCCCGACCCGCAGCCCAACTGGAAAGACAAAGCAACAGTCCCTAATGAAGACTTGCTCAAAGAGCCAAAGCCAGAGGAGGAAGCGGTTGGCTGCCACCTGGGTGTGGAGGTGGGGCAGTACTGACATGGAAGCGATTTTGTTGGGTGTAAATAGTCCCTTTTATAAAGCCCTCTGCTCTTGGATGATATTTAGTCAGAGCATAAATTCTAAAATAAACTCCAGCACCACGACCACCCTTTTTTTTTTTTTGTCTCTTCAGACCCTGAAGCTTTCCGTCAAATCCCACCCCTCTTCGCCCCTCTGCTCTTCTGCTGGGACGGCTTTCCACGCCTCCCGTCTGCTGGTCCTGATGTCGGTCAGCGGGTCTGCCTACGACTATGCCCAGATCCACAACGAGAGCGAGCTGCTCTACTTCTTCAACCACTCGCTGTCCCGCTGCCACCTGGAGCTCAGTGAGAACACCAAGCGCGTGGTCCTCTTTGTCCTCTACCTCGCCATCTTTGTGGTCGGGCTGGTGGAAAACCTCCTGGTCATCTGTGTCAACTGGCGGTGCTGCGGCCGGACGGGGCTGCTGAACCTCTACCTCCTCAACCTGGCTGTCTCGGACCTGGGCATCGTCCTGTCCCTGCCCGTGTGGATGCTGGAGGTGACGCTGGACTACATCTGGCTCTGGGGCAGCTTCTCCTGCCGCTTCGTCCACTACTTCTACTTCGCCAACATGTACAGCAGCATCTTCTTCCTGGGGTGCCTCAGCGTGGACCGCTACCTCATCCTCACCAACGCCTGGCCTTCCTGGCAGCGCCACCAGCACCGAGCGCGGCGGGCCTTGTGCGCAGGTGTGTGGGTCCTCTCGGCCCTCATCCCGCTGCCCGAAGTGGTCCACATGGAGCTGGTGGAAGGCCCCGAACCCATGTGCCTATTCATGGCACCCTTTGAGAGTTATGACGAGTGGGCCCTGGCGGTGGCTCTGCTGACCACCATCCTGGGCTTCCTCCTACCCCTTCTTCTCATTGCTGTCCTCAACGTGCTGACGGCCCGCCAGCTGCGGCGCGCAGTGCAGCCGGAGCGCGGGCGCCACTGCCGGCTGATGGGCGCCTACGTAGCCGTCTTCATCATCTGTTGGCTGCCCTACCATTTGACCCTGCTGCTGCTCACACTACAAGGGACCCACATCTCCCTCCACTGCCACCTGATCCACCTGCTCTACTTCTTCAACGACGTGGCCAAGTGTTTCTCCATGCTCCACTGCGCCATCAACCCCGTCCTTTACAACTTCCTCAGCCCAGGCTTCCGGGGCCGGCTGCTGAACGCTGTGGTCCACTACCTTCCCAAGGACCAGGCCAAGACAGGTGGCCCGGCTTCCGCCTCCTCCTCCTCCACTCAGCACTCCATTGTCATCACTAAGGAGGGTGCGCAGCGCCCCCACACTGCACCCTCTCAAATCTGAACGTGCACACAACCTCGTTGCTTCCAACGATCTGGCCCGCCATCTCTACTGTACAGCTGAGCCCCAGGTGGAGGTGAGGGGGGGCTGAGGAGCAGATCGGAGCACTCATGGCTTTGTGGATGCATCTTCAAATACTGCAGTGGGGCCAGGGAGAAGAGAAGAGGAGGAGTAGAAAGCAGGCCTGGGTGTTGTGCTGTTTGTCAAGGTCCTTGTGTGTGAGGAGGGCGTGCAGGGGTGAGGGTTGGGGGAGGTGAAATAAATAGAGACAGCTGATGCGGCTCTGCATCTTTGAAAGGTCTGTGCTTCCAGCAGCGCTGGACTGGGGAAGGGAGAGAAGGGAAAAGAGGTGGTCCTCCGAGGAAAGTGGACATCCTCATTCCATCAATCACTCTGGCCGGAAAGAGTGTGCTGGCCAGGAACCCCGCAAAGCTGTCCTCCCTTGTTTGTGTGCTCGCTGTCCTCCCAGCACAGCCTGCAAGTAGGGACAAGAGGCCAGAGGCCAAAGAACCAGGAGGCTTCAGCAGGCCCTTCCTGAGTGGTGCATCCTTAGTGCGCAGATAGTGAAGGGGCGGGGACCCCTGGGACGGGACGGCTGAGGTCGGAGGCCAGCGCCCTGCAGCTGGGCTGGCGGGATGGGTTCCCATTACCACCCCCATTCCCAATGCCGGAAACCGGACCCCATTTCCTTGCCATCACCTCCCCACTTGTCCATCCTGCTCCCCCTCCCCCCAGAAGCAGAAGATGGTCCCCAAGTATTCGAATCCATGTCCCTTAGACCTAACCTCCTCCCAGCTCTGGATCTAGGGCACTTCTTCCCAAGAGAGAAGCTACCAGAAATCACCCCATCTCTGCAGATCACAGGGCAACGTTGAGACAGCCATTCTGGGATCAGGCCCTGAGCCAGTGGGCAGTGGGCACTCTAGATGCCCTATCCCTCAGTCCTAGGCTCCTGAAAAGGGAACGGAGGAGAAAGACTTGGAAACAGAGTCAAAATCTTGTCATTCTGCCCAAGGCAGAGATCTGGACTTCTATTGAGTCTCACCCTGGTCCTTCTTGCTTCCTGACCGGGTTTAAGCAAATTTCCTACCCAGCGCCTTACCTCTATTAATCCTAAGAAGAAACATCCTCTGGGTAAGTCATGGGTATGGAAAAGGCTCATTCACAGGTTTGGGGCACCCTGACCATGGCCATGCGGAAATTGACTTACACGTAGACCTAAGAACAGGTCCTTTCCTGTTTGTGGAGGGCAATGGGATTGTAGGTGTAACCTGCCCCCCAGGGACCCTCCTTACCAATGTCCTGCTCAAAGTGCTATTTATCCGGAGGGTTTGATTTGTAATAATGGCTCACTGATCCGCCTGAGAGCTGTCTCCCCTGCTCTGAATTTGCCGAATGCACCACCCGTCTGCTCCAGCGGCGCCTGTGCCTGGGTCTGCCTGGGATGTGGAGGGCTTGTGTCTACAAGCCCTCTGCCCACCGCGCCCACAGACAGCCATCTAGCGGCACGGAGCTGAAGGCTTTTCAAAGCAGGAGCCTGGGTTGCTGCTTGAGGTTTCAGTAAGGACTTGCTACCCCAATGTAGAACATGCATTAAAATGACATTTCTCCCTTGTCCCCCACATAAAAACCACGCTGGGATCTGATGCCCGTTTCCTCAGACTTGGGCTCCAGGGGTTTCCAAAAAAACCAGTTTTACATCAGCGATGACCCAGCCCCTCCCCGCCCCTTCCTCCCCCACCCCCCCCAAATCTTGCTCTTCTTCCCACTGGTTCCAACCCGATGGCCACTTCCCAGCCTGGCAGCACAAATATTTCCTGTGGGCCTTCCCTGCCATGAAAGGGTGGCACAGGACCTGTCTGCGCCCACTGCAGTGGGCGGTGCTCAGCTCACGTTTTCAAGTACTGGGGGAGCCTGGGCCTTGTGCTGAGACCTTGTGCTATGGTCTCATCCCCTTTGCTGTGGAAATGTCTGTATCGACCTCGGGAAATTACACCGAATCTCTGCCTCCCGTTTCAATCTTCCTCTCTTCTTTTATAACCAGCCCGTGCCTACTCAGATCCATCACACAACAGCAAATTAAACAGTATTGACAAGACAGTTTTTGACCAAACCTCTCACTCCATAACGTCCAGGCCGGCTGCCCTCGGCTCTTTCGGGGCAGACAGAAATGGTCCCTATAAAAAAGGATGGATCGTTGACTTAACTTTCCAAGAAAAACAGGTTAACAAACTAATCCTGGGGAATTCCAGCCCTGGGACAGAGTCCCAACAGCAGCTGAGCAGAACACTGCTGCAGGAAGAGTGCCGAGCCGGACCGGAGGCCCTAGAAGGATGAGCATGTTCCCGCCAGGAGGAAAAGAACACACAATTCCAGTCTGATTTTTTTATTCTAAATAAAAACCACACTTTGTGCCGAACAATGGAATATAAAAGAATCAGATGTACAACCATTTTAGACTTCTACTATTTGGGAAAAAAAGTTTACAAAATATACAAAACTTTACAGCAATAGATAGTAAACACTTAAATATTAGGAGGTCAGTACTTATTAATTTAATGGAAGGAGTCAGTTGTCAAAACTCTTCTCCGCTTCACAGAAGAGTCTCGTAGATGTGGAGAGGAGGGTGGGCTGGACGGGGAAGGGGTGCTGCGAAACATCAGCATCAAAACAATTTCATTTTCATTCTGATGTGATGTTTGTGGTGAGTAATCACATTGGAAGGAACACTGGGTCTCCTGCTTCCTGACTTTCTGGGTGTGGCGGGGGACGAGGCAGGGGAGGATTCCCAGATGGGCACAGAGCTCTCCCCACATCCACTCCAGGCCAATGAAGCCAGTGTGCCCACCTAGAGAGAAATTTTCATTTAGTTCCAGAGTTGAGGAGTCTGGGGCAGCAGGGCACAGTACAGGCCAGAGAGACTGCCTGGGGGTGGGGGGGAGGGGGGGGGAGTGATCAGTAGCAAAAACCCAACTGGAGAGAAGGTATTTAAGCTTCAAGGCTTGTCCTGGGGACAAGGTGGCGCTAATCAGAAACAGAGCCAGCAAGAACTCTTTCTTACCCATTGCCTTGTTCTTAGGACCCCTGGGCCCAACATCCACCTTTTTTCTTCCCAACTAGCCATGATCTGCAGAGACTCCAAGGGTCTTAAAACTTAGGACCAAGTATTAGGGGGTAGCAGAGCTTCCAGTTTGGCACCAGTGAGCAGTGACTGAGTGGAAGGAATGCTGGGATACTAATCCCCTTCTCTTGGCCACCCACAGCCTCCACTAGTTACCCCAGAGCGCCACACGAACTACCCCTGGCCCTCAGGAAACAAGCGGGCAGGCCTCACATTTGGTTTCATGCTCTACAGTCTCCATCTTGAGGTTCTTAATTGCTTTTGCACAAGGGGCTCTGCCAGTGACGCAGCCAGCCTTGAGTACAGAACAAGAGAAAGGGGAAGGGCAGAGAAAGGACTTGGGAGGGTCAAAGGGAAGCCCCAGGCCCAACCGCACGAGCCAGTGCCGAACTCCCCTCCAGGAGCCAAGGGGTACACCCCAATGGACAGAGGCTGGAAAAGCACTCACAATAAAGCAAACGTTTACCTTCCACCAAGTACCCTAGCGTGCCCTCTGCCACCACAATGTTTCAAGTAAGACAGTTGGGAAGAGGGGCGCTAGAGGCAGGGGGGGCGTCAAAGTGACTCCCAGGGGGCATCCAGGGGTGACGATGAGGAGCAGAGGGGCAGCGTTTGGTCACTGAGCTTTGTGGGCTCCTGATCCTGCTACATGTCTGACTGGGAACAGCTGATCAACCCCTTATCCTACAGGGGACCAGGGGGCCAGGGGACCCAGTCTGTAGTGTTTCGAGGACTTGCTTTTTGGTTTACCGACTAAAGGGAAAACTTCACAGTTTCAGGCTAAGTATACAGAGTACCCAGCATCCAAGATGCCTCTGTTAAAGAAAAAGATTTCTCCAGCATATTTTGCCGGTAAGTATCACCTCTCTCGAACCCAGCCAGGCTAAACTCTTGCCTTCACCCCATAGCCGAGGAGGATCATCCGGGCTTGCAGAAGCTCGCGGGTGCACAACTGCAATCTGTCATGCATTTGTCGTCTTAAGATTCCCAAGAGCCAGTAGAGGGAAGCCGGTCAACATGCCCACCACTGCTGTCCTGACGAAATGTCTCAAGGGGAGTCCAGATCAGTTCTTAACGAGACACGCTCCCCTCAGCTCCATCCCTGGTCTACTCCTTCACAGGGCTGGGAATGGGGGGATGAAAGACCTGTGTGACTCTAACGGGACCCCTGCCCTTGGTCCCAACTTTTTGGACCCCCTTGTCCACTGCCTACCGTGTTCCCTAGGTTTACTCCGCTAAAGACCATCGGGAAAGAATTTGCTTGTTGAAAAGGCTTGACATGGTCTCCCTTCCAGGTCTTGCATGACTCCTGGCCCCCAAATCGCTGCACAGCGTACCTGCCTGGAATATGGCTACTTGTCGGGGAGAAACTCATTTTCCTAAAAATCGGGTCTCTCAAAAAGATGCTGGGAATTCTGCATACGAAAACAAAAATAAATAAATATTCGTGTTCAGAAAGGCTCTGTGAGTTCCGTGACAGCCTCTTGCTTGTGAAAACAGCCTGGTGCTGCTGACGCCCAACCAACTGGGGCAGCATCGGGGTGGAGGCCAGGGACTCCCAGAGCTCATGTGAGCAGGGTGAGGTAGTGAGGTACTGAGGTGCCACCTTGTGAATACGCAAAGTCCCCTAAGCCTTCTTTGAGCAAGACCCCTTTCATATCATCGAAGTAGAGTCAACCAGCCCCACAGGAAACCGCCTAGCCCGGTCCTCCACCCACCAAGGGGGGACCAGAACCAGCCGCCTCAGACAGCTCCCCCTGGATGTGATGCACTGACAGATCAGGCTCAATTCCAGCAGGTCAAATGGGAGCTGCCAAAGCTCGGGCCCTGTTAGCACAAAGTAAACAACAGTGTCACCGGATTCAGACAGTCAAGACTCACACTCCGCTACACACCACTGCCAGTGACTCAGAGCTCACGGAGTCCACCGCGCCATCCCAAGGGGCCTTCTCACTTCTACCAGGGACCAGGCACAGGCCTGCCTGGGCGGGGGGCTGGATGTAGAGTAGATTAAGGCAAGGCTGCTGCTCCCAGACACCCCCACCTGCCCACCAGGGAACTCAAGGTCAACAGAGGTGGCCAAAATGACAAATGACTGTGTCAGAGTAGCTCGCTGCCCACCTCACCCCATGGGGAAGGTCTGACCTCCTGGGCCAACACTATAAAATCATCTTTCTTTGGAAATGAGAAGAGTGCCAGCTCCCTTCGGGTCCTCCGATGCTGCCACTGCCGGTGGCACTGCAGAAGAGCCCCCCTGGCTGGTGAGGACTGGCCCCTTCCTCTCCGTGGGAAGCTTTGTCCCCCTTGTGGATCCAGCTGCCAAAAGATCTTCTCACTGTCCAATCAGCACATCAGGGCCGCAGGATGGGCAGACACCTTCATCTGACACCTTTCCCCTGCTGAGGACCACCCTGCTGACTGGTCTTTTCTAGAAAATTCCATTTCCAAGAGCTTTCGCATGATCCGTGGTCCTGGCCGGAGGTCTGGCGGAGATACCTACAGAGAAAACCTCCCTCCACCTCTCTCGTCCATGAGGCTGTGGCTGGATTCTTAGCAGCATAAAACCTATCGGGTAAACGAAAACTTAAGAGAGGCCAGAGAATGGGATCTAGCTGCCACCAACTGCTTGATTGGATCCCAGAACCCGCCTCAGTGGAACCAAACACACAGCCCTTGGCGGGCCAGAACTGGTAATGGAGGTAAGCGCGGTAGGGTCATTGCTTCTCGAAGATAGTAACTCAGCTCATGTGCTCTTTCTTCGTGTTTCTTCTTCAGACACACCACCGAACAGGATTCCTAGCAAGGCAAAATTGTAAGTTCAGCCGAGAAGGGACCAGGAGCCATCGGGAAATCAGTGTCCCGGCTGCCCCCACCGGGGGCTCCCCTGGCTCTGCCGGGACCCAGTCAGCTGTCCGGGCTCTTCTCTGCCTCTTTGGAATGGATAATGTACATGAAGGTCTGCTCGATGGTGAAGTCCGGGGGGAGGCTGCCTTTGTGCACGCCGACGTGCTTGCTCATGAGGTTGAGGGTGGAGCTGTAATGACCACAGACGGTGCAGCGGTACATGAGGGCCCCGGAGTGCGTCTTCAGGTGGCACTTGATGGTCGAGCGGCCTCGGAAGAACTTGTGGCACACCTTACACTGGTAGGGCTTCTCGCCCGTATGGATCCGCCGGTGGTAGTTGAACTCGCTGGTGTGGGCAAACCTCTTGCCACAGACCTTGCAGCTGTACTTGCTATTGCCGGGTTGGCCCGGCAGAGCTAGCTCCTCATTCAGGAACTCCTCTGCTGGCAGCTTCCGCTTCTGGAGAGCTGGGTGCTGCAGGCCCAGGCCAGGCCGCAGGTCCAGGCCACTGGTACATTTGTGCTGGCCGGCATGATAGCGGTAGGCCGCCTCCGACTTGAAGCTCTGGCTGCACCGCTGGCAGCGGAAGAGGGCGTCTTCCAGGCTTTGGTGGACGGCCATGTGCTTCTCCAGGAGATGCCAGTCCACAAAGCTATTAGCACAGACGGAGCAGGAGAAGACCGAAATGCCGAGGTGGGCGAGCGTGTGCCACATGAGGCTGCAGAGGTTGAGGTGACGCTGGTCGCAGACGCTGCAAGCCTGACCCTTCAAGTTTAGGTGGTCGAGGATGTGGCCCCGGACCACGTGGAAATCCTTGGCCAATCCCCTCCCGCAGGCAGCACATTTCAAGTCTGGGGAGGCCGCCCCTGCAAAGAGGCCCAGCTTTCCGGGGAGTGGGTCATTGGGGTGGACAATGATGTTGTTCTCAAAGATGCCATCCTGTCGGTGGAGGGTCAGCTGCCACTGGGTAAAGAACTTGGTTTCACACATGTCACAGGAGAAGAGGAAAATACCAATGTGGGACAGGACGTGGGTCACCCGGGAGTTTCGGTCCTGGAAGTGGGTCTCACACACCTTGCAGTTGCCCGTCAGCAGGTCCACGTGGTCGCGAGCATGCTGCCGGATCAGCTGGACGTTGGGCTCCAGCACTTTCTTGCACACTTGGCAGGGCATGGCCTTGTTCTCTCGGCTCTCGCTCTCACCAAAGGCCAGTTCGTCCTCACTGTCGTCACTCAGCTCGATCACCTCCTCGGCGGTGCCCATCTCCTCGCTGGCGTCTTCCAACTGCAAGTCATCGTCCCCCAGGTCCTCCAGCTGGAACCCCGCCATCTGCCCACAGCGCGGCTCTTTGCCCGGCTCGCTGCTGCTCACGCAGGAGCTGCTCCCCGTGCTCACGTCGACTGCGCTGTCAGCAGCGAAGACGCTGTTTTTACTGAAGTCTCCGTTGCTCTGAACTTTGTACGGCGGGCAGGAGCTCAGGCTGGTCTGGATGCCCATGCTGACAGTGCCCAGGCCCAGCTGGGTCACTGTGCTGGGGGCGGACGCGAAGGGAGCAGGGACCTCGACGCGGTCTTCTGTCTTTGGTGGTGGCGGCGGCGGCAGCGGAGGCAGAGGCAGGCCATGGTTAGCGTCACTGGCAACAGTTTTCTCCTCCTCTTTGTAGCTTGCTCCAGCATCACTGGACGGCACATAGGTTCTATCAGGACCCAAGGGCTCCCCGCCACCTCGGAGTTCTCCAAGGGGGCATGGGGGGTCTGTGGAGGTACAACTCAGGGTACCCGCGTGGCTCTCGCGGGTGCTGGTCAGGGGCTTGGCCCCCGTGGTGCTCTCCAGGTCAGGGAAGGTGGAGTGACAGGCCCGGAGGAGGTCTTCCATGCCCAGACGCTCGGCCACTTCGTAGATGACCCCAACATTGATCAGGTCTGTAAAGAGCTCTGACGTGTAGACAAAGCTCAGAATCTTCTCAAAGTTGGCTGGAGTGATGAAGTCCACCACGTACGTCCGGGCGGCATCAAGCCCCGTGTTCAGGAAGAGGTTCTGGAAGTAGCCCGCTGCACAGGCCAGCACAGCCTTGTGGGCTGGGAAGGAGCGGCTCCCCACCACAATGGTGACATCGCACATGGTCTCCGAGAGCCGGCACTTGTTGAGCTCCTTCAGCAGGTTGTTGGGGTGGTTGGTGCTTTGCAGCTTGATCCTCATGCCCATCTTAGCAGCTCCTACGACGTTGCCTCCGTATCCGCACGGCTCATCTGCGGAAGGACAAGACGGTTAAGAACGTCCTTTCAAGGGAGGAGCCCCACAGGAGAAAATGCCTCCAGTCTTTAGTGTTTCCAAAGCCTGGGCGGGGAACAGGAGAAGGGCTACTCTACTCTTCCAGGGACCAGGACAGTAAAAACAACGGGGGGGGGACACACTCTCTCACTGTAAATATCCAAATGCATACAAGGAATCCGCATGACAAGATCCAAAATCCCTGATAAAAATCCAATAGTCTGTTAAAAAAAAAGCTGGTAGCCTGTTCTTTAAAAGTCGGGAGGAGAGCGCACAGTCCTCTGGACTGGTACCTGAGAGACAGCCAGAGACACACGATGTGGCACTCCAATACCAGAGCTGCTGGCTCAGATTTCCCTCCTCCTGATTTCTTCCTAAATATAAGCTTTCCCACCTCACCAAGGAATCTTTTTTCTCCTCCCAGGGCCAAGCGTCACACACGTACTCCAATGCAATCACCAGGTTGCTAGCTCCTGGAAGAAAGGGACAGGATGCTCCGGCTTCTACCTTTCTGTCACGACTGTGTCCTTTCAAGTTCCTTGCTCTTTCTTGAACTCACCTCGCTCCCTAACTATGCTACATGGCTATCCTGGTCTTTTGAAAACCCAGGGCCATCGAATATCATTCTATGTTCTGTGAAGGAACTTAAAACATTACAAACTCAAAGAAGTAAAGCAAAGTAGGTGACAACTATGGTATCTCATACGATTTAAATGTTTTATTCCTCTTTTACCTCCCTTTTCAGGGTACCTGCTCCTGTAGACCCTATGCTAAGTTATTTGATGCCATAAGAAAGGTTTCTAATGAAGGAAGTCCAGGAGTTGCAGACAAGAACTATTCCTAAGTGTGCAGGGAAGTGGGAATGGGTGTGTAGTTACTTAGGCTTACTTTAATGTGAGAAAACAGGGCTGCAAATCACTACAAACAGGCTCAGTCATAGCCAATGTTGTGAAATTAGATCAGACCTGGATTTTTTAAATGATCGTCACAATGGAAAACACTGTGGGGGTCAAGGACCTGGAATGAGAGGTCCAGAAGGGACGTAACGAGCCCTTTCGGGAACCTAGTGTGGGAGACTGAGTTAATGCCAGGACTGTGGAGAGACACACACTCAAAAGCAGCATCAAGAGCCGTCATCTTTGAGTGAGTGGGACACTATTGTTTCTGACTGTACACGTGCTCTTGCTTTCTAAGGAGATCACGTTTCTAGCAGTGCACCCATCGTAGTTTTTCCGTTCTGGTTTATGCTGGTTCACCCCTATTTTACAAAGTCAGGTCCATTCAAGTTTTCCACCTGAGTGGCTGTGACTTAAGTAGGGAAGGGCAGATTCAAAGCCTTGCAAGCAAAGACCCCAAACCTTTCCCATGACTTCAGAGCTGCTAAAAACAATTAGTACAAGAATGAAGAAAATATTCTAAGGTTAGTTGTACAGCTCTTCTTGATGTGACTGAATTACTGAACTGTGTGATGTGCGTCCCATGTGAACACAACTTTAAAGAGTTGACGGTGCCACCAGTGACCAGTGACGGTGACTGCGATGAAGAATCGGGTATGAGTAGGAGCCTCAGGGGAACTGCTGGGTCAGCCCTGGACTGCAAGTTCAAATCCACCAGCCACTCCCTGGGGAAAGATGAGGCTATCTGTTCCCCCAAAATGTACGTCTCAAAAACCATATATAGGATCAGTGTGTGTCAGCACTGAGTCCATGGCTTTTGCTTTGGTATAAGGTATGAGTTGGAATGGCAGTAGCTGGGCTGGGGGGTCAGAGTGGGGGCAAATTCACATAACATTAAAGGATCCGCCCGAGTCGTCCATCAGCTGACCCTCCGTACCCAGGGGCTGGCTGGCTGTATACAGCCAAGCCTCCTAACAGCATGTTCAATAGCACACTTTTTACTGTGCAACTAGCTTATCATTTTCAGGCTTTCCCAGTCCGACCGGCCTGAAAAAAGATAAGCTAATTGCACTCCTGTTTACTCCTCCACTGGCCGGAGCCGGCCCCGAGCAAACCCGTTTCTCTGCCTCATGAGATTCTATCTATAATTCCCAACTTTCCCTGGGTCCAGGCAGTTTCTGGGCATGGTTGGGTACCACCCAAGCATCTCCAGGGCCTTTGGCAGGCAGGTCGGGACACTAGGAAGCCAGAAGCGGGGCCGGGGCACTGTGGACAGTTGGAACTTCCGAGAAAGGGTCCCCAACCAGCAGAAGACGCCGGAAGACTCCCCTCGGGGCGCGGAATGGGGCTGAGCACCCATATGGGGGGCGGTGCAGGGGGGGGTGTCGCACCGAGCAGCTCAGGCCCTCCACCCGCG